TATTATTTCATTGAATAGATTGCTCATTCCTTTGGTTTTGACCTCAATACCTTCCTCTATCCCAATAACTCTTAAATTTGGTCTCTTTATTCTATCCATATATCTTGAATGTTCTGCTTGTTGCTTCTTATCAGTCTCGCTGTGATGTATACATTCTTTTCGAGATGACATACTTTGTCTTCATTGATGTTCTTTGTTCTAAGTGTTCTACTCTGTTGATGATACTCTCATTTGAGTTTTTAATTTTAATTTGGTTTATCATTTCTTTCATTTCTAGGATTTTTTTTTTTGTATAACATCTATCTTCCTGTAGAGGTGATCTTTTGCTTCCTGGATTTGTTTATGTAATTCATTGTTGAAGTGATCTTTCATTGTCTGCATTTGTTGTCTAATGTCTTTCCTGAGACTCCAGAACATCTGAACCATGAATATCCTGAAATCTTTATCTGACTTTCTTTCTGCTGTAGATGTTACCTCTTTTAATGTTGTATTGTATTGCATTGTTTGTGGTCCTTTCTTTCCTTGTCTTTTCATGCTGCTCATGTTTCTTTCCAGCTCTGTGAGTCTGTTGTGTTATTGTTTTTCCCCTATAGATTTATATTGCACTTGTATAGTTCCAAAATCTCTCCTTTGTGGGGAAAGACAATGTTAACAGTTCCCAATATCAACAATCCATCATCTATGAACAAGTTTTCATTATCAATACATTTATAGTTAGTCTCTATGCCTAGAGATGTTGGATTCAATCATTATTTTAAATATAGTCATTAGTTTCATAAAAGCCATACCATTTCTGATGGTGTACAGAGAACTGAAGGTCAGGCGTAGGACATTATGTTAAAGGGGAAAGGTGTGAAGGTATGGAGTTAATCTATCTTAGCAACTTTGGAGGAAAACTCTAGTGAATAGACAGGAGATAGTTTAGGAGAGATAGGTTAGGGAAGAATGCATAAAATCAAACAACTATATGTATTTAGAAAATTACCTGAAGTATAAACAGTAAAAGTTAGGAGGTTGAAAACGGGAGAGAGGGTGTAAGAAAATTAAAAAGAAAAGAAAGAAAGAGAAAAAAGAGAGGGGGAAAGAAAATAAGAAAAAAGGGGGGGATTATGCAATTCCTCTGTAATATATCATTCTGGTGATTCAGTTCTGAAAGTCCTATTTCATGCAAACTACTTGGTTTCACATATGTTGGGGTTGTAGTAACCAGTGGGGGAAGGGTAGAGGAGAATGGATGAGAAGAGAGAAAAAAAAAAAAAACTCTTAGAATTCTGTTTTCTTTTCTTCCAGTAGGTCTCATTGTCTATTCCAAGCTTGTGTCTCTGCCCTCAGGTAACCAGTATGAGAGGGCTTGGGCATCTTCCTGGAGCCTCCCTGTTCTTAGTCTCTCTTGAGTTGAAGTTGTACAGTTGCAGTTCCATGTTGATAGCCATGCCCCCCAAAAAAATTTGAGAAAGGTTTTGAGTTATTACATCTGGGGGTGGGGCAATTGGAAACCAGGTACCTGACTAGCTGCAGAACTATGCTGGTAGCCATGCCCACCAAGAGATGGCGAGAAAGGTTTTCCAAGATGGATTCCGTCTGTTTCCTGCGTCGGGTGTTTGGTGAGGTGGGGGATGCTGGGGTGACCTTGTGCTGGGGCCAGAACTCAGTCTGGTGACCCATATGGGAGCGGAGCATAGTCTGGTGATCTATAGTTCTGTAGAAGTGCTGCTTGTGGTCACGTGTGTGTTCAGACTGTGGGCTTTGGGGCCAGAGTCTGGAGTCTGACCAGCAAGCAAAGCCTCTGCATTCCGTGTCACGCTTGCCGCTCCAGTGGAATCTGCAAAAGATTCCCTGTATGGTATCCTGTCACATGCTCTGAGATGTAGTTTTTCATTGAGGCAGGATCCTGTGGAGAAGCCTTTTGACTGTTTTCTCAGATTCGTGCGCAGAGCCACCAGAAGCAGTATCTCCTCTACTGCGCCATCTTTGCTCCTTGGTTTAGTTTTAAATGTGATCAATCCTTTTTCCCTTGAAGTTTTTACAATTCTATCCTTATTCTATAGGTTGCACATTTTTTAATAATGTTTCTAGGTATGGATGCATTGTGATTTTTGTATAATTTGATTCCTTTTGTCTCTTTTATTTGAATTTCTATCTCATTCTTAAGGTTTGAAAATTTTCCAATATTATTCATTGAAAAGATCATGAATCCCTTTATCCTTTATCTATCTCAATGAATCTTAAGTTTGGTGTTTTAATGATATCCCAGATTTCTTGAATATCATTTTTAGAATTTCTTTATCTTTACTGAAGTGATCTTTCACTTCCTGTATTTTACCCCCAATTTTGCTTTTTACATCTTTTTAGGTAATAGAACATTTTAACTGTGAAGTTCCTAAATTATTTTTCTACATGTCCTCCGTGGTAGTGTCCATGGAGTCAGTTGTTGAAGCATTATTGGTTTGGGGTTGATTTGTTCGCTTGCTTTTTCATACCATTTCTATGACTACCCATCTATTAGTATAGTTTTCACTTCTTTATTAATGGAGGGACTACTTGTGAGTTTCTTTCTCTTAAGACCCCTGTATTGATAGAATATCCAAATATTTATTTACTTTTTCAGTGTGTCACTTCTGCTTCTCCTAATATCAGCACCGCTTTTTAAAATGCCAGTGAATCCTATTTACCATAATCTTTTCATAGCCAAGTTAAATACTATTCACCTTATAAGAAATAAAACTTTTTGCTATTTTTTCCACAGTTCCCCATATATACATGTAAACCTGTAATAAAGTTCTGGAATAGCTCAAAAAATAGTTAATAGTTATTAAATTTAGTACAATTAGTGTAACCTTAAAAGAGGAATAAGGGTACGGGAGAAAGATAGGCCAAAAATAATTTGAGAAAATATAGGATGTAAAAATAAAGAGAGAGAAAAAAGATGTAAAATATAATTCACACCCAGATACAAAGGCAAAATAGATGGATGATGAGTATGTAAGGTAGTATTAGATAATGCAAGAGAATGAATCAGGGATATGAAAAACAAGTATAAACCAGAGAAATGAAAACAAAGATAGGAAGATTGACACCAAATAATACTTTAAACCATTAGATAAAATACATTCAAATGGGTTGAAGGTACAGTGTTGGCTATTGGGGTCACTACTCTCATTCATGTTAACGAATTCTGTAAATTATTAAAGTTGATGTTAGAGTTATTTATAGTAAAACATGCCAAGGTAAAGAAAAATGATGCTGAATCTTGGTTTGGATTTCAGAGGGGTTTGGACCTGTAGCAGATGAACATCATTCCTTGGCTGTGGATCTCTCCTGAGTTACAGTGGTGTAGGAGCCACCTTTCACCAGTTATTTTTGTTTGCTGAGTGATTGAGTCAGGTTTACTTTGGGGCTGCTATTTTTTAACTGATTTTGTCTTTTTAGGAAAGTACTTTCTTTACTCTCTTATTTAGCTGCAAGCCGGCACTTCCATTAGTTTTTTGCTTAGATTTCCAGGGGAAATGTACAAAGTTCTTGGCTTCCTACAACCATAAAGTCTCATTGATTGAAATAATTTATTTTTTAGTTCTTTATGATCTGAACATAACAGAAATGTAAAAAAAATAGTTTTATTACTCTAATGATATGAACAATTACCTAATAATTAAAGTATTAATGCCACTGTATTAGTAATAATATCATTCACTTCAATTGCTCATTTTCCCCTTTTTCTCCCATACTAACATAAGAAAATAAGCACATTTCCTTACCTTACCAATATCAGTATCAGTGAAAAAATGGACAAGGTCTCTGTATTATCAACTGTTTAATGACTATATTTATATTCATTCACATTTCCATAATTGTTCCCAAAGGCCTTATTTATTGGTTTATAATAATTATAAAGAATAATAGATTTCATTGTGGTATATTTAGACATTTATATAATACTTTGAATTAGGTACCCAAATGTCTTTTATAGTACAATTGTTAATGGAAACCAATCAAGGGCCATAAGGAGCATTCAATAATGATGTTTAGAGACTCCACATTCTAGATGTATTTTTTACTTCCTACCTCCCCCAGAGCTTCTTTAGTCCCTTTCCACACATATACTGGTGAAAAGATTGGGCCAGTTGCCCTGTGAAATATACCCTCTTCTGGGATTTTCTGAAAAGATGAATGAGCAATTCTGAGGTATGTTAACTTGTAGAAATAATTATTGTGAAAAAATTATGAAATTGAAAATATGTGAATATGGAATGATGGGTAGTATATGTTTCTTGCTCCAAGGTGATTCTCTTTTTTTTTCAATCCAATTGGGATCCTTTGTGGAAATGGTATGTCTGTAGGAAGTTGTCACAACACTCTAAAAGATCATTATAGGTAGTGTCCTTTATATTTCCTCCTATTTTGTTTGTTTGTTTGTTTGTTTGTTTATTTTTGGTACCAGGGATTGAACCCAAGGGTACTTAAACATTGAGCTATATCTCCAGTCCTTTTTTGATATTCTATTTAGAGACAGGGTCTCACTAAGTTGCTTAGGGCCTCACTAAGTTGCTTAGATCCTCACTAAATTGCTCAGGCTGGCTTTGTATTCATGAATTCCTGCCTCAGCCTCTCAAAGTACTGTGATTGCAGGCATGCTCCACTGAGAACAGCTCTTCTCCTATCTTAGTAGTCATTTCCCCATGTTATAGGCTTTTCTTTTCTTTCTTTTTTAGTGTTTAACTTACTCTCTTAAAACTGACTATTTGGTGAGGAATTCACAGGACTATTAAAAGAATGAGCTTCATATCAGGTGCAATCACTCGAGAACTTTGCACTGGGGCTCAGCTTCCACATGTGGTTAGAGTGAAACATCCCCCTTCTCCTAGGTGTCATTTACTTGCTGTTCAGAATAATGAGGAAAATTAGGTAAAGTGTCTCTAGCAGAACTGCTGGTGGTTAATTCACCAAAAGATAGTGATGATGAAAATTCGTGAAAATGATAATAATTTGTGTTTTAGGTAAAATCTAAAGGAGAAAGAAAAAGGACTAGTATAGGAATGGAGCTGGTCCTTGATCCTCTCCTCTTGTTCCTGGATAGGCCCACAACTGGCTTAGATGGGAGAACAGCTAATGATGTCATCAGACTCCTAAAAAGGTAAATGCTATGGCAACATTACATTTCATCTGTTTACTATCTGATCACTTCCAGTTACCGGTATTCCTGGTGCAGGAGATTCAGAAGCTAAAAAAATAGTGTTCTTTCTTTTTTAGCAAGTTACAGTTAATAAACAAGAAGTGTATCAAGAATGATGAAAAAATACATAGGGAAGTAAGGTCATGGTGAGGGCAGGGAGCTGTTTTAAACAGGAAGGTCAGAGAAGACCACAAGCATGTTACGCCTGAGTTGGGAGAGAGTGAGATGTGCTATAAATCAGAAGAGGGTTCTGGTTGGAAGAAGCAGCCAGTGGCCCTGAGACAGAGCATGTCTTATGTGTGTGGAATATCAGCAAGGCCAGAAGGACAGACCCAGAGACTGAGGGGAGTGGAGGTTGCCTGATGAACTGTCACAACAATGCTACAGATTGGGGGCTCAACAACAAAAAATTTTCTTATATCTCTGGAGACAGAAAGTTGAAACTAATGTGTCTTCTGGTCATTTCTTCATTAGTTTGTAAATGGCACCTTCTCCCTTATGTGTCTGTGTCCTAATCTCCTCCTAACTGTACGTAGTCAGATGAGAACCCCCTGATGATCTCATTTAAACTTAAAGACCTCCTTGATGGTGCTATGTCCAATGTGGTTGCATTCTAAGGCACTGGGGAATAGAACTTCAACATCTGAGTTTGGGGAGGACACAGATCAGCCAATGAAATGTGTTTAGGATGTGAGGTGAAGTTGGGCTGATGGCAGATTTCATAGATCTCATAGAGGATCAAAGAAGTATGGCTTCTTCTGTCACTAGGGGACATAGTGATATTTTGAGAGTTTTAGAGCACAGCAATGGCTGTGGGGAAGACTGTGCAGTTAGGCAAGGATGAGAGAAGACCCAGTGAAGGAGCTGCTGAGCTTCAACCATAATGGTCATGGTGAGCAGAAGGTGGTTTCTGTTTTCAAGGGAACCAATAGGATCAGGTCAGTATTTGCACCTGGGATGGGAGGATTAAGACAATGACTGCTGAGATTTGGGGCTTGAAGAAGTGGAAGAATGAAATTAAATAAATGGGATTTCCTTTATCAAGAAAGAAAAATGGCCAGGTGGGGTGCCGCACACCTATAATCCCAGCAGCTCTGGAGGCTGAGGCAGGAGGATCACACATTAAAATCCAGCATCAGCAAAAGCAAGACTCCAAGCACTCAGTGACATCTTGTCTCTAAATAAAATACAAAATAGGGCTGGGGATGTGGCTCAGTGGTTGAGTGCACCTGTACTCAATCCCTGCCCCCTCTTCCCCACAAAAAAAGAAAGAAAGAAAGGAAAGAAGGAAGGAAGGAAGGTGGGAAGGGATGTTTATAGGAAATTTTTCAATAGTTGAGATTTATACAACATCTTTAAAAATATAAACATATTTCAAACTGACAGAAAGTATCTAAGAACAATACAGATGAAATCCTACTCTTCTCGCCTGGATTCCCCTCTGTTACTTTTCATTCCATATGCAGCCCCTCCTTTCTTCTCTGCTGTTTCCCACATAGGCTTTTCTGCCATCATGTGCTACTACAACCTCCAATCAGGGAGGACATGCCATCATCTGCACTCCACAGTTCACTCCACAGATATTGCTTTGCCAATATCCAATCAGGGCTACTCAGATTTCCCCAGTTCTCCCTAGTGTCTCTGTTTCCTGCCTTTTTGGGATCCTCTACAGAAATATATTTTTCCTGTCTTTTTTCAATCTGAAAAGTTAATGGCACACTGCAGGGTTTATCCCAGTGCGTGTTGTATGAGCTGACTCAGGCATGAAAGGATGCTGAGTTCTCAGTGAAACACACCTGGGCATGCAACCTACACAGCCTTTATCATCTAATTGTGGTGCACATATATGTATACATAGATGCTTCCTAAAAATACATGCATGAGCAGAGATATATCTATATTTATTGCTATTTCTGTTATTGAATACATTGAAAAGCCCAGGAACTCATAACAATATTTCTGATGCCAATCTGACACCTCTGTCTTACTTTTAGTCTTTGCTATTTTCACATTTGTAAGTGTCTTCAGACATGGAGATATTCAACTCCCATTATCTCAAAATATGCACTTACTTTCTTTTGCAGTAATTTATTTGTTTAAGGAAGCCAGTCTCCCAGTAGCTATGGTCTCTCCCTTTGTCCACCACCTCTAGAAACTCCTCTGCCCCATTGTTTTAAGCTGCCAATCACACTACTTTCATGGCCTCCCTTCTGTTACAACCTTGCTTCCTCTGATGCCCATGACTCTTTGAGGAAGTCTCTATGCTACAAGAGAGGAAACAACAAGAACTGAAGATATGTATGGGTTTAAACTTCTTAAGTTTAAGATGTCATTTACACGTATAAGTGAAGATGCCAAGACATGGTTCTGGAGTTCAGGCCCCATTACAAAACATATGTAGGATATTTTTATTCACAGACATTTTCTTTGTGGGTTGCTCTGCTTAGCACACAGTCCTCTTTCCTCATGCCCAGAGCTTTGGTCAGTCCTTCCCAAGCACTGCTGAGCATACTCATCACCTGGGGACTTGTTGAAATGCAGATCCTGTTTCTCTAGGTTCCCGGAAGGAATCAAAGTTCTCTACAGTAGTTTTAAAGAATTACTGACATTGATTCAGTTAGTCCTCAGGCCCCACTTTGAGTGTTAGAACTCTCAGGTATCCCATGTCCATCTTCCAGTCCTTTCTCAGCTTCTTATTGTCAGTTGAATAATTTCCAGTTTCTTTTGGAAGGGTTCAAAATGGTCCTCTTTGGTCCTCTCTATTAGTTATCTTCTTCACCCAAAACAACAGCAACACAAGCACACACACAGACACTGCTTGTTGTGTTACACAGAAACGCTTCTTATAGTTTTGAATTTTAGACCTGTTCATTTCACACTTTGTTCACCTTGTATCTCTTTTCTTAGTTCACTATCATTGGGAATTTGGATATTCTACTTTTATCACCTCCAGAATGGGTTATCACTTTCTCTTTTTTGTTTATAAGGAGCCATTAACTTCTTCGAATCCAATCATATTGAAATTATAGACCTTATCTCTTGTTTCTCTTTGAGGAAGATCATCTTTGGATATATTAGATATACTAGGTGCTTATCAAATTCTTAAATTGAAGTGATTCTTCTCATAAAATATTTACAAAACAGATTGGGAAAGTTTTTTTTTCTGCCTTTGTTTCTTTTTTTTTTTTTTTTTTTTTTTTTTAATTTTTTTTTATTGGTTGTTCAAAACATTATAAAGCTCTTCACATATCATATTTCATACATTAGATTCAAGTTGGTTATGAACTCCCAATTTTACCCCAAATACAGATTGCAGAATCACATCGGTTACACATCCACATTTTTACATAATGCCCTATTAGTAACTGTTGTATTCTGCTACCTTTCCTATCCTCTACCATCCCCCCTCCCTCCCCTCCCATCTTCTCTCTCTACCCCATCCACTGTAATTCATATCTCTCCTTGTTTATTTTCCCATTCCCCTCACAACCTCTTATATGTAATTTTGTATAACAATGAGGGTCTCCCTCCATTACCATGCAATTTCCCTTTTCTCTCCCTTTCCATCCCACCTCATGTATCTGTTTAATGTTAATCTTTTCTTCCTGCTCTTCCTCCCTGCTCTGTTCTTAGTTGCTCTCCTTATATCAAAGAAGACATTTGGTATTTGTTTTTTAGGGATTGGCTAGCTTCACTAAGCATAATCTGCTCTAGTGCCATCCATTTCCCTGCAAATTCTATGATTTTGTCATTTTTTAGTGCTGCGTAATACTCCATGGTGTATAAATGCCACATTTTTTTTATCCATTCATCTATTGAAGGGCATCTGGGTTGGTTCCACAGTCTAGCAATTGTGAATTGTGCTGCTATGAACATCGATGTAGCAGTATCCCTGTAGTACGCTCTTTTAAGGTCTTCAGGGAAAAGTCCAAGAAGGGCAATAGCTGGGTCAAATGGTGGTTCCATTCCCAGCTTTCCCAGGAGTCTCCATACTGTTTTCCAGATTGGCCGCACCAGTTTGCAGTCCCACCAGCAATGTACAAGAGTACCCTTTTCCCCACATCCTCTCCAGCACTTGTTGTTGTTTGACTTCATAATGGCTGCCAATCTTACTGGAGTGAGATGGTATCTTAGGGTGGTTTTGATTTGCATTTCTCTGACTGCTAGAGATGGTGAGCATTTTTTCATGTACTTGTTGATTGATTGTATGTCCTCCTCTGAGAAGTGTCTGTTCAGGTCTTTGGCCCATTTGTTGATTGGGTTATTTGTTTTCTTATTGTTTAATTTTTTGAGTTCTTTGTATACTCTGGATATTAGGGCTCTATCTGAAGTGTGAGGAGTAAAAATTTGTTCCCATGATGTAGGCTCCCTATTTACCTCTTTTATTGTTTCTCTTGCTGAGAGAAAACTTTTCAGTTTAAGTAAGTCCCATTTGTTGATTTTTGTTATCAACTTTTGTGCTATGGGTGTCCTATTAAGGAATTTGGAGCCCGACCCTACAATATGTAGATCGGAGCCAACTTTTTCTTCTATCAGACGCAGAGTCTCTGATTTGATATCTAGCTCCTTGATCCACTTTGAGTTAACTTTTGTGCATGGCGAGAGGAGGGGATTCAGTTTCATTTTGTTGCATATGGATTTCCAGTTTTCCCAGCACCATTTGTTGAAGATGCTATCCTCCCTCCATTGCATGCTTTTAGCTCCTTTATCAAATATAAGATAGTTGTAGCTTTGTGGATTAGTCTCTGTGTCCTCTATTCTGTACCATTGGTCCACCCTCCTGTTTTGGTACCAGTACCATGCTGTTTTTGTTACTATTGCTCTGTAGTATAGTTTGAAGTCTGGTATCGCTATACCGCCTGATTCGCACTTCCTGCTTAGAATTGCTTTTGCTATTCTGGGTCTTTTATTTTTCCATATGAATTTCATGATTGCTTTATCCATTTCTACAAGAAATGCCGTTGGGATTTTGATTGGCATTGCATTAAACCTATAGAGAACTTTTGGTAATATCGCCATTTTGATGATGTTAGTTCTGCCTATCCATGAACAGGGTATATTTTTCCATCTTCTAAGATCTTCTTCTACTTCTCTTTTTAGGGTTTTGTAGTTTTCATTATATAAATCTTTCACCTCTCTTGTTAGGTTGATTCCCAAGTATTTTATTTTTTTTGAGGATATTGTGAATGGAGTGTTTTTCCTCATTTCCGTTTCAGAAGTTTTGTCGCTGATATACAGAAATGCCTTTGATTTATGCGTGTTGATTTTATATCCTGCCACTTTGCTGAATTCATTTATTAGTTCTAGTAGTTTTTTTGTAGACCCTTTTGGGTCTTCTAGGTATAGAATCATGTCATCTGCAAATAGTGATAATTTAAGTTCTTCCTTTCCTATTTTTATGCCTTTAATTTCTTTCGTCTGTCTAATTGCTCTGGACAGTGTTTCGAGAACTATATTGAATAGAAGTGGTGATAGAGGGCATCCCTGTCTTGTTCCAGATTTTAGGGGGAATGCCTTCAATTTTTCTCCATTGAGAATGATGCTAGCCTGAGGCTTAGCATAGATAGCTTTTACAATGTCGAGGTAAGTTCCTGTTATCCCTAGTTTTTCTAATGTTTTGAACATAAAGGGATGCTGTACTTTGTCGAATGCTTTTTCTGCGTCTATTGAGATGATCATATGGTTCTTATTTTTAAGTCTATTGATGTGGTGAATAACATTTATTGATTTCCGTATATTGAACCATCCTTGCATCCCAGGGATGAATCCAACTTGATCATGGTGCACAATTTTTTTGATGTGCCTTTGTATCCGGTTCGCCAGAATTTTATTGAGGATTTTTGCATCTATGTTCATCAGAGATATTGGTCTGTAGTTTTCTTTCTTTGAGGTGTCTTTGTCTGGTTTCGGAATCAGGGTGATGTTGGCCTCATAGAATGAATTTGGCAGAGCTCCTTCTTTTTCTATTTCCTGAAATAACTTGAAAAGTATTGGTATTAATTCTTCCTTAAAGGTTTTGTAAAACTCCGCTGTATACCCATCCGGTCCTGGGCTTTTCTTGGTTGGAAGTCTTTTGATTGCTTCTTCTATTTCATCTATTGTTATTGGTCTGTTTAAGTTGTGAGTATCCTCCTGACTCAGTCTGGGCAAATCATATGACTTAAGGAATTTATCAATGTCTTCACTATCTTCTATTTTATTGGAATATAGGTTTTCAAAATAATTTCTAATTGTCTTCTGTATTTCTGTAGTGTCTGTTGTGATATTGCCTTTTTCATCCCGTATGTTAGTGATTTGAGTTCTCTCTCTTCTTCTCTTCGTTAGCATGGCTAAGGGTCTGTCGATCTTATTTATTTTTTCAAAGAACCAACTTTTAGTTTTGTTAATTTTTTCAATAGTTTCTTTTGTTTCAATTTCATTGATTTCCGCTCTGATTTTAATTATTTCTTGCCTTCTGCTACATTTGCTGTTGTTTTGCTCTTCCTTTTCTAGGGCTTTGAGATGAAGTGTGAGCTCATTTATTTGTTGGTTTTTCCTTTTTTTGAGGAATGACCTCCAAGCGATGAATTTCCCTCTTAAAACTGCTTTCATTGTGTCCCATAGATTCCGATATGTTGTGTCTGTATTTTCATTTATCTCTAAGAATTTTTTGATTTCTTCCTTTATGTCTTCTGTAACCCATTGATCATTCAGTAACATATTGTTCATTTTCCATGTGATGTAGGATTTTTCCTTCCGTCTTTTATCATTGATTTCCAGTTTCATTCCATTATGATCAGATAAAATGCATGGTATTATCTCCACCCCTGTATATTTACTGAGGGTTGCCCTATGGCATAATATATGGTCTATTTTTGAGGAGGATCCATGTGCTGCTGAGAAAAAAGTATATCCACTTGATGATGGTTGATATATTCTATATATGTCAGTTAAGTCTAGGTTGTTGATTGTGATATTGAGTTCTATAGTTTCTTTATTCAGCTTTTGTTTGGAGGATCTGTCCAATTGTGAGAGAGGTGTGTTGAAGTCACCCATAATTATTGTGTTGTGGTCTATTTGATTCTTGAACTTGAGGAGAATTTGTTTTATGAACGTCGCAGCACCATTATTTGGTGCATAAATATTGATAATTGTTATGTCTTGTTGGTAAATGGTTCCTTTTAACAGTATATAATGTCCTTCCTTATCCCTTTTGATTAATTTAGTCTTGAAGTCAATTTTATTCGATATGAGGATGGCCACCCCTGCTTGCTTACGAGGACCGTGTGCATGGTATATTTTTTCCCAACCTTTCACCTTCAGCCTGTGTATGTCTTTTCCAATCAGATGTGTCTCCTGCCTTTGTTTCTTATACCCATAAGTAATAATTCCTATAACAGGTAGGTGAGAAATGTTTCTACTATAAAATCAAACCAGACTCAGATTCCAGCCTTGCTATTTAGTAACTGTGAGCCATTGGTTAATTACTTGACCTTTAAACTTTATATGTCAAAAGAAGAAAATACTAATATTATAATAGCCTTGTGAAAACATTGTGAAAATTCAATTTATCTCTAAAACATATAGCTAAGTGCTAAATAACATTCAAAGTGCTTAACAGTATTAATGTATTACTAAGGTAGGATGAAAAGCAATTACTAAAGATCCAGGATACTTAAATGATCAATGAAAATTTGTATATGAACATCCTTTTAATACTTCATTGATAACTAGTTTCAAAAGTGAGTATACTCAAAGATAATCTAAGATACTTGTTAATAATATGGACTCTCTATTCCAACCACCAGAGATTGTATACCAATTTCCCTGAATTTACTGTCTTGGAAAACTCTCTAGGAAACTGCATTTTCACCAATTTCTAGTCAATTCTAGACTGCTAAAGCAATAAACTTTAAGATTCTTTAGTCTTTTAATAAAAGCATTGAATTTAAATATTCTCAACTACCATGTATGTAATGAGTTGAGATGAGAAATTTGTAAGAGAAAATCAAGTTGAACTGAGAGAAAACGCTCTACTGGCAGAAATAAGTATTTTACAAAATATTGCAAGGTTCAGATATTTTGGATGGAGGATACTGGGGATTGAACTCAGGGACACTTGACCACTGAGCCACTACCCCAGCCCTATTTTGTATTTTATTTAGAGACAGGTTCTCACTGAGTGCATAGTTCTTGCTTTTTCTGTGGCTGGCTTTGAACTTTGATCCTCCTGCCTCAGCCGCCTGAGCCACTGGGATTATAGTCGTGCACCACCTTACCAGCAAGGATCAGATAATTAATGATTTATTATTTTCCTTTTTCACTTAGGATTTCTGAGCAGGGACGCACGATCATCTTCTCCATCCATCTGCCTCGCTATTCCATCTTCCAGCTGTTTGACAGCCTCACCATACCGGCCTCAGGAGAACTAATGTATCACGGTCCGGCCCAAAGGACTTTAGAGTACTTTGAGTCTGCAGGTGCGGTTAAACATTTTATGCCCTAGATCCTTCATTCATAGACTCCTGGCAGAGCACAGGAGTCCCCAGGAGTGCTACAGGAATGCTCCTTGATCTTGCATAGACTTAACTGGGGTGCCTCCACTCTAAAACATCTTTGGTCAGTTCAATGCCAGAATTCTTTTTCATTTTGCAGCATTTGCTTGTTTTTCAGGTCTCTTCCCTTTTCCTGTCTTATTTGAATATGCATGGTGTGTGTGTGTGTGTGTGTGTGTGTGTGTGTGTGTGTTTCATGGGACTTTTTTCTCCTTTTCAGTTATGTTGACCTTTCCCTGAAAGTTCAGTAATTAACATGTTGGACTCACACTTAGTATTCTGTCAGTTGAACTTTTTTGAAAAGTTCCAAACCATTGCCTTTTAAAACATGTAACAGATTGTGATATTACAGTGTTTCCCCTGACACATAATCTTGCTCTACCTTCTTCAGGGCTCATGGAAATGTTTCTTAGAAACATTAAATTGAATATTTAAGTTTTGAATGGTTGGCCCTGAATCTGATATAATGGTCCAAGATTTCTGGTCTGTCTGGTTCTTTCTATTTCAGACTGAGTACTCTGATTTCTTTAATGGTTTACCTTTCTGCTTCACCTTCAGGGGTTTGTGGATATGATTATAGATGTTTATCCACGACCCCAAATGAAGTTGTAAATAATCATTCCTTCTTAATTTGTTTTTATTAAACATCTGTCACTTAAAAAAACATCAGACACATGAGAGTTGGGAATCCAGGGAAGATGAACTAAAGAGTCAGAGCTCAGGCCAAATTTAGATGTTGAGGTGAGAGGTCAGGTGTGCTGTGCTGGTCATGTCTCTCGATAATGCTTCTCTGGGAATTTGTTGTCTATTTGAAATTATGGCAGCTTGAGAGATGATCATTTGGAACTCTGAAATTAGTAGGTTGCAAAGCAACATCTGCTAACATACCTACTGCTGTTCCAGTATTCTCTAGGTGAACTGAGAGAGCACAGTTCACTAGAAACTTAATATCCTTTCTAGGCTCTACATTTAGATTTTTGAAGAAGTACTAATAAACAGTAGAGCATACTGATAGCTGCTTGGATTTTGAATTTTTATGAGAGGTAAACACTAATGTAAGATGTTCTGAAGAGTCCAAGAATAGTTTGGAATACGTTTTTTTTTTGTTTTATTTATTTTTTTTGCCTGAGAGAGACAGTTGTTGAAATGTTATGTGATTGAATAAAGAAGAGGAAAGGATAAATTAGAGAGGGCAGAAGAGAGCAAGAAGATGAGGAAAAAGTTGTTCAGTCTGCCTTCCCTACCCCTCACCTCCAGCATCCTCTGCATGTGAGTCTTCTTTACCTTCCAAGACTATCAGCTTGAGTTCTTGGGGTATCTTATTTTGTAGGTTTTCCCTGTGAATTCTACACTAATCCTGCAGAAATATTCCTGGACTTCTTTCATGGTGTAATAAAGAGAGAGTCAGAAGAACATGAAGGTATGTGTAAACCTTTCACATTTTCACATTTTTGCCCGAGATTTAGCAATGAGGTGATTCATGAAAACATGATCTTGTGAATTTACATGTTAATGTGATGAGCAAATAGACATTGTCAGTGAGTGCTGTGGGCATTTTTATTTGTGAATGTACATGCTAATTCCTTTTTGTACTCAAGCTTCAAAATATAGGAGTTGTACAAATAAAAGGTCAAGAGAAAACTTGTGAAATCAGGAGTAATTTGTTTATAATGAGTTAGTACTCTATGCAGTAATCTGTGACCTGTTATCCTCTTCCATTCCAAAGCTAACAAGACTGAAATGCCTTCAAAGACAGATGATTCACAGATAAAAGAATTAGCTAATAATTTTTCCAAGTCCACTTTCTACAAAGACATAAAAACTGAACTGCATGAATTCAAAAGGGATGAGAATAAGAGGTGCTGGGTCAGGAAGGAGATTCCTTATGTCACCTCCTTTGGTCATCAGCTTATTAGCCTCACCAAGCGTTCATTCCAAAGCTTTGTGGGTAATCCCCAGCACTGGATAAATGAGGTAAGTGAAAAATTCTTCCAATTATGCTGTGAAATACCCATGTGAGAGCTATTTGTTTCTAATATGGACTTATGCAGGATTATTTTTTCTTCTACCCATCCTTCCATTTATTAGTCATGCCCCCTCCGTTTGGAATTTAGAAACAGCCAATCAATCTAGTGTATTATCTTTGATATGAATGGTCCCCCAAAACTCATGGTTGAAGACTGGTCTCCAAAGGAACAATATTCAGAGGTTGGGCTCTTTGGAAGTGGCTGTATCATTTGACATCATCAACGGACTAATCCTTTGATGGATTCATAATTTGATGACATTATTAGGAGGTGATGTAAACTGTTCCAATCAGGATCTAGTGAGAGGAAGTAGGTCAAGGTTGCCTGCCTTGGAAGGGTTGTGTTGTCCCTGACACCTTCCTTGCTCTGTTTCCGGACTGCCATGAGATGAGCAGCTTTCAGCCTCCACACCCACATGCCTTGAAGTTCTGCCTCACCTTACTCTTAAACCACAGAATCTGAACTGACATGTCTAAAACTGTGAGTCAAAATAAAAGTTCTCTCTTACTTGGTTTTCATGTTGCTGTGACCAGTATCCTGACAAAAACAACTTAGAGAAAAAAAAACAAAACATTTATTTGGGGATCGTGGCTTCAGAAGTTTCAATTCATAGAGAAGTGACTGCATTGTTCTGGGCCCATGATGAGGCAGCACATCATGGAGGAAGGGCTCAGCATAAAATGCTGTCCAGCTCATGATGGGCTCAAGAAGCAGAGAGAGGGAGCAGGGCTGCAGGAAGAGCAATGCTTTCAGGGCACCCCCTGCTTTACTCCCAGTGACTCATCTCTTTCAGCCACAGCCCACCTGCCTGCAGTTACTGCCCAGTCAGTCCATTCAAACTAGGACAGACAAATTAGATTACACAATTCAATCATTCACCTGTGAATTTTCCTGTATTATCATAGGAGCTTTTGGGGGACATCTAATGTCCAACCATAACATGTTCTTTCTTGGTGTTTTAAATTTTTATTTTTGTCTCAGTGATAAAAGTTGAGAACCACAACAAGTAAAAAGCAATTGAGTTTTTACTCATGTAAAGCTCTTCAAGTGGCTTCTGTACTATATAACTCAAAAATGTTGAATATATATATATATATATATATATATATATATATATATACACACACACACTATAATGGATAATGTTAGTCACAATTTTTTTGTTAAAAATGTTCAGACAGATGATATCAACCACATATGGAATTTGCTGAAAGCTGTCCATTGTCATTTATTGATTCATTCCAAAGATACATTGAAATATCATGTGTTCCATTTAGAGACTCTATTACACTAGTGAATGAAATGAGTAAAAATAAAAATCTCTGCTTGTGTAGATCTTTTTTCCATATGAGGGAAGGGAAATGATAGATGAATAAAGAAAATACAGACTATGTCAGATGGTAGGATGGACTATGCAGAAGGAAAGAGATAAATCGTAGAAATGAAGAAGAGAGAAGGCTCAAAATAGGGAGAAGAGGATTGATTTGCCAATAAAATCAGGTGTTAAAGGATCCCAGTGTCATTTATATTCTTGAAGGTAGTTTGTTCTGTCCACTGTCAGAGGGAGGGGACTGTAGGCAGAATGCTATTCCTTAGGATTGACCCTCATCATTGAGAGATTTTATTATTGGCAAAACAATAGATAACACAAAGTATGTGTGGTTTATGCACAGGAAGTAACCAGATACAACAAGAATATTCATGGTGGGGTTAATTGCCTTAAATATGACATGATAGTGTTCTTTTCTCCTTTTTATCTACTTTGTGGTAGGTGTTTTCAGTCCTCCAGGTTTTTATTATATTTTGTTTTGTTTGTTTGTTTGTTTTTTGCAATACTGAGGATTGAACTCAGAACTTCACACATGCTAGGCCAGTGCTCTGCTATTGGGCTATATCTCTGGCCTATTTATTAGTTAATCTTAATCCCTATGTCACACAAAACACTGATTCCTTCAGTTAATTTGTCCAACATTTGTAGGGAAGTCAATTTAGCTGGTTATTATTTTATTGATATTTTCATTGTCAATCGTTGCATTTCTATGTATTAAGATATGGCATGTTGTTGCCTTAATTAACTGACTTCTCAGCATAAGGACCACAATTTTCATATTTAAGTATTGTTGCTCTCCAGGTGTACCTGAGGGCCTGCATCCCCATTTCAGTGATGATGTTCATTGTTTCAGACTTCTTTAGTCCATGTGATTTGGCATTTCTCTCAAGCAGTTTTGTGTCCCATTGTTCAAGGACAATATTTTATTCTTAGGTCATCGATTTGACATCATTTGGAAAAATGTCAGGCCAATTAGATGCATTAACTTTGGTAGCCCATTGTTCAACAGGAAGATGCAGTATAATAAGCTGATTCTTCAGAGTGATTTATTCATTAGGCTTTTCTTACATGTCTCTAAAACTGATTTTTAAGTGTCTTATCCAAGAAACATATGGTATTCTGGGCAAGATGTTATTAGAACACAGGTGTTTTTACATCAGGATTATGAGTGTTTTGAGCTTAGGCTTCCTTAAGAGTCAAACAGCAGGCCCAGAGCCTCCAGGTAGCACATTCAGCCTACTTGTCTCATCATCGAATTCGGTTCTCCAAAAGCAATTCCAGCAATGATCAGGGAAGCAATAGTCTCTACCATAAGGGAAGAACCTTGTAGATCCCTGAGCTTAGTGGAACAACTCTTGTTCAGGATTTTAAATGTTGAAATGTTAGCTCAGGAACAGGCAAACCCTTGTAGGTAAAATCTCAGAAGTTATTTGTTTTAGACTTTCATGGCCACATATGTCATTTGTTTCACAAAGTCTATTCTGCCATTTCATGATTAAAGCAGCCACAGCTAACATATGAGCAAATGAACATGGCAGCATTCCAATAAACTTTATTTAAGGACACTGAATTTTGAAATTCATATTGAAAGAAATATTATTCTTGACATTTTATCTCCCAAGTATTAAAAAAAAATGGAAAAACCAAACTATTGGTTGACTGTTTTGGGCCCATAGTTTATTGATCCTTGGTATAAGTGATTTTTGTTTTGTTCTGTTTTGTTTTTTGGTACTGAGGATTTAACATTGGGGGGCTGTACCACTGAGACATATTGCCACACCTTTTCACATTTTTTTTAGGACAGGGTGATGCTATGTGTATTAGGGCCTTGGTAAATTTCTGAGGTTGGCTTTAAATTTGCCATCCTCCTGTCTTAGCCTCTCAATTCACCAGGAGTACAGGCATGTGCCTTCCACCATGCGACCAGCGCACTGGTTTCATTAAAGAGGTTCGTGGCATAAAAGTTAGCTAGTGAGATCAAAATAAACACACAGACTCAATTACCTTTTTCTATGACCAGGTCCCAGACGGCTCTCACCTCTCTGGCTCATACCTCGAACCACCCGGCAGGTCAGCAAGGCTTACTCAGGGCTAGCAGGAGAGAGAGAGAGAGAGAGAGATCACACCAGGGAGTGGCCTTTTATTGGGGAACAAGAAATTCAGGGGAAAATTCCATCCAATGAAGGTCTAGGGGGCAGCATTCCAAGGTCAGGGTCAGTGATTGGCCTCAGGGTCAGTGGTCAGTCACACCCCCACACGGACAGAGCTCCTCACACCCAATCTGGGAGGTACCCAATCACGTACAAGAATGGCTTTCCACATGTGCCACCATGCCTGGCTCTAACATCGAGTCCTTAATCTTGTATGATTTTTATTTTTGTAAGTTTTGTGAAATGGAGTTATTTAAATGTAGAAGATATACAATCAATCAACAAATATATGAAAAAAATGTTCATTATCGCTAGCAATTAGAAAAATTCAAATCAAAACTAATGCTTTCTTAGTGACATTCCTTAATTTATTGCCTGATTTTTGTATTTTGTTGTAAACTAGTTATTTGTTGACATGATTCAGACTTGACATTTAACCAGATATGTTGGGAAGGTATAGGAATGAATGGATTATTTGGAAAAAAAAAAAGGTTTATTGTTCATTTAAGTCTACTTTGACAACATTCTCATTGATCTCTCTGAGATTAATTGTCTATATTTGCATACTAAATATTTGACTATGCATTCAATTTTTTATTAAATTATTTATTTATTCCAATTTGTTATATATGATACCAGAATGCAGTTCATTTCATATTACACATATAGAAGACAATTTTTAAAGTCTCTGGTTGTACTCAAATATTTTCACACCATTCTGTCTTCATACATGTACTTAGGGTAATGATGTCTAACTCATTTCACCATCTTTCCTACCCCCAAACCCCCTCCCTTCCTCTCCTGCCCCTTTTCCCTATCTAAAGTTCCTCCATTCCTCCCATGCTCTGACCCCCATTGCCATTATGAGACAGCATCCTCATATCAAAGGATACATTGGGCTTTTGGGTTTTGGGGATTGGCTTACTTCACTTAGCATTATATTCTCTGACTCCATCCATTTACCTGCAAATGCCATGATTTTATTCTCTTTTAGTGCTGAATAATGTTCCACTGTATATATATACCAAAGTTTCCCTATCCATTCATCTACTGAAGGGTATCTGGGTTGGCTCCACAATTTAGCTATTATGAATTATGCTGCTATAAACATTGAGTGGCTATGTCCCTGTAGTATGCCGTTTCTAGGTCCTTCGGGTATAAACGGAAGAGTGGAATAGCTGGGTCAACTGGTGGTTCCATTCCAAGTTTTCCAAGGAGTCTCTATACTGCTTTCCATATTGGCTGCATAAATTTGTGGTCCCAATGTATGAGTGTGCCTTTTTCCCCACATCCTCACCAAGACTTACTGTTGTTTGTATTCTTAATAGCTGCCATTCCGACTGGAGTGAGTGGAAATCTTAGAATAGTTTTGATTTGCATTTTTCTAATTGCTAGTGATGATGAATATTTTTTCATATATTTGTTGATTGATTGTATATCCTCTTTTGAGAAGTGTCTGTTCAGGTCCTTGGCTCATTTATTGATTGGATTATTTATTTATTTTTTTGGTGTTAAGGTTTTTGAGTGCTTTATATATCCTAGAGTTAGTGTTCTATCTGATGTGCTTGTGGTAAAGATTTGCTCCGATTCTGTAGGCTCTCTATTCACCTCACTGATTGTTTCTTTTTCTGAGAAGAAGTTTTTTAGCTTGAATGCATCCCATTTATTGATTCTTGGTTTTAATTCTTGCGCTATAGGAGTCTTATTAAGAAAGTTGGGGCCTAATACAACATAATGAAGATGTGGCCTGTTTTTTCTTCCATTAGACACAAGGTCTCTGGTTTAATTCCTAGGTCCTTGATCCACTTTGAGTTGAGTTTTTTGCATGGTGAGAGATAAGGGTTTAATTTCATTGTGTTACATGTGGAGTTTCAGTTTTCCCAGCACCATTTGTTGAAGAGGCTATCTTTTCTCCAATATATGTTTTTGGCACCTTTGTCTAATATGAGATAGCTATAATTATGTGGATTTGTCTCTATGTCCTCTCTTCTATACCATTGGTCTACCTGTCTGTTTTGGTGCCAATACCATGCTGTTTTTGTTATTATTGTTCTGTAGTATAGTTTAAGGTCTGGAATAGTAATACCACCGGCTTCACTCTTCTTGCTAAATATTATGCATTCAATTTTTAATTTTTTTAGTGAAAGCTACAAACATCCATCAATCCATACCTTGAGATGTGTTCTTTAAATACTTCTGGAAAAAGGGAGAATGACATAGTTGAAGAATATCTCATCTTGATCTGTTTTGAACAGAGACCATTTGTACATATACAAAAAGCTCATAGTTAGGTTCATCTACACTGTTGTGAAATGTTCAGTTTACTCAATGGCTTTGTTTTTCTTCATGCAAGAAGATATAATACATGTGAACTTCATAAAAGCATGGCATTATCATGGATTCATCATTTTGTCAACATATTTGAAAATTGGCTAAAAATAACTAAGGAATATCCAAGTGATAATATTCAGTCAGTGAAAGAAATGAAGTGTGAATACAAGAGAAATGAAGGATACAGAGTGTCTAATTTGAAGTCTGAATATATTGACAGTTATACAATGGAAAAGCATAGACTCTTGCATAGATGTGCATGCTGCATGGTGGTAGAGCCATTAGCATAGATTTTGGAAACTTGATTAGTTGCAACAAAGAACAGATTCTGAGGGTCTTGAGGGATATAGCAGGGGAATGGATTCCTACCCCCTACCCCAAATTTCTGTATTATTAGCAAAGGACATTTCATAGGTGAAACATTTCACTAATTTTTCCAGACTCTGGTTTTTACAAATTATTCTTTACAATTCATTGTTCCTTTCTTTGCATGTTGCCTGCATTTTTGCCAAGTATCCATTACAAATTAGTTCATGGCTTGATACTGTTGTAATATTGAGATTTTTTTTTAAAACTTTGATTATTGCAAGATAACTGGTAGGTATTTAGTTTTCTTTACATTCCTATCTCCTGTATTATTATATTTAACTCACATATAATTATAAGAATTCCTTATATAAAATATGTTCTAATGTAACCCTAATCTTTTGCCAACTGAAGCACCTTTAAGAGAGTTTTTATTCTAAGAGGAAATGTAATATTGTTCCATTTTCTCTGGGAGGTATATAGTCTGAGTAGGTGAAGATGGGTGGGAAAGGCAAAGAATTGGCAGCTCAGGTGTGTCAAGTTATCTGTAAGCCTCATTGGCTGGGAAAGAAAGACAAGAAATATGAGCGGAGATGGTAATGGGAGGATTTGGGTAACCCCATCTGGCCAAGTACTTTGGAGACAGTGACAATGCACTTTTCCTGTGCAGGTGGGGATTCCCCACATGTTAGCTAGGTGCATTCCACTTCTTCCTTATCATTCAAAATTCCATTCTTAGAATTTGGATGTGGCATTAAAATTTTATGTATTTCTGTGCTTTGCAGTGATGGGGATCAAACCCCAGGTCTAGCACATGGTAGGCAAGCAGTCTATTGCTTAGCTACATCCACAGCCCTGAAATTTCCTTTATTTCTCACAATTAGTGAGTCATCTTGTTTTAATTTGAATCTCTTGAAGTTTAAAGCTGTGCACATTCACTGGCATGAAAGTTGAAAATTCAGTTTAAGTCAGCATTCTTATTTTGTTCCCAAAACATCTTCCTCATATGCCTTCCTCACACAGATACCCTGTATGGTATTTGTGCACAGAAATTGGTAGACACTGGAAGAAACTTATCTCATCAGGTCATCTGTTCTCTTGTCCTGTCAGTGCCCAAAACACAGAATCCTGACATTCTCAATTTAATTTAGAAAATGTTCTAATAATAACCACTGTCTGATAATTCCCCAGTTACTCTGGCCAATCCATTTAAAGTGTGTATTTCAGTGGAGAGATTTGATTAGGTAATAAAAAGTTTTACCTGTAATTGAAATTTTTTCTTTCTAATTTTCATTTTTCTCTTTGAAAAGATAATTGTCACATTGGTTTTGGGACTGGTTACAGGCACCATTATCCTTTTGCTGAGAGATGATTGTACTGAAATCCGAAATAGGTAAGTAAATTTGAATCTCAATTTTGTGAAAATGCTCTTACTTTGATGAAACTAATGAAAATCCATTCCGAATTTGAATTATTGACAATACAGGGTAAACATTGCTGTTTTATTATGGGGTAGGATCAGATAGTGTATTGAAATGTGAATGGAAGAGTTAATTTTCGGTTTCACATATGTATGTATGTGTGTAAATTACACATCACGGACATATCCTAACCATTTTGAAGTGCACAGTTTAGTGCCAAAACGTCCATTTATGTTGTCACCTGTCAACACCATCCAACTGCCTTTTCTTTATCTTCTCAGATGCAATCTTCAACCCACCTTAGAGTAACTACCCATACTCACTATTGCCACCTCTGCAACCATCGGCAACTTTCTGTCTCTGAATGTGGCCATTCTAGGAAACTTATCAATGTGAAGTCATACAGTACTTGTCTTTTCATGACTGCCTTATTTTCCTCAGCATAAAGTCCTTAAGTTTCTTCCAGTTGTAGCATGTGTTATATTCTTTTTTTAAAGCCAAATAATGTATATGTAGAAACTACATTTTATTTATCCACTCATCCATTGCTGAAAATCAGGGTTGCTTACACCTTTGAGCTATTGTAGTCATGTTGCTATGGGTGGGCACACACTTGTCTGAATCTTTCTTTCAACAGTCATTTGGGGCAGATACCCAGCAGTGGAATTGCTGGGTCATGTGGTAATTTTTTGAATACCTGCCAAAGCCTCTCCTACTGCATTTTACATTCTTAACAGCAACACATAAAGTTACAATATCTTCTCATTCTCACAAAAACTTACTTTGTTTTCAAATAACAGTGATCTACATGATCTTTGGAGAGATGTTTGTTTTTAGTCCTTTGCCAATTTTTAAGTTGCATTCTTTGGTTTTGGGGTGTTTTGTTGTTGATGATGGTTGGAATTCTTTATAGTTATGGGTTATTCATTCATTTTCAGATATATGATTTACAAACATTTTATTCCATTTTGTGGGGTTTTTTGCACTCAGTTCATAATGCCTTTTATGCTGAGATGTTTTTGATTTTGAAATATACTTTTGCTCTGTTTTCTTTGGTGGTTTGTGAGACAGTTTCCTCAATTTTGGTGTTTGTATGATTTGGGAGTGTAAGATGTATGGATGGGAGTCAGTTGTCCCTAACTCTGCATGGAAAGCACTTACATTAGTGTTGTGCTCCTTTCTAGTTTCAGTCATAATGTGCCCTTAAAACTCTTATTCCTAGGTGTTATTTTAAACAGCTGGCTCATGTTCTAAACATAGATTCTCAACATTCCAGAATTCATGGTTCTCATCACAATTCATATATACAGAAGCACTTCTCACTAGGCACTGAGCTTCATGCTTGACAGCTATGGCTAATGTTAACTCCCAAGGGCCAGAGGAGTGGGTGGTCTCATCCCCATTTTACTGTTGATAATGGTGGAGCTTGGTCTTTGTCCCAGATGCTGATCTTGATCCAAATAATGAGATGGTGTTTTGTTTGTTGTTTTGTTTTGTTTTTGTTTTTGTTTTTGTACTGGGAATTGGACCCAAGAATTGAAGGACATGACAACCGTCCTGGGGGAGAAACAGTGTTAATCTTGATCCCCACAGGTAGGGAAGGAGGAAAGGAAAAGACTAAGGAAAAGAAAAGGAAGACATGTCAGTTTTTAATTAAGCCTCCTGTGTTTGAGCAGCAAGATGCATACCAAAAGCCTGAAGTGAACTCTGGATACAGGCAAATTGTTTTTGAATGAAAAATAACCATAAAAAATTCTTTATTTAAATTTGTTTATTAAAGTGGATTTTCCTATTTGTTGAAGTAGATGGTGTTTTCTTACAAAAAGATGACTATTACAGCTGTTTTCCAGAGTTAAGTCACTTTTTTACCTTCTTCAGGAAGAGATCTCTGAATTTTTTTTTTTTTACAACCGTTAGTGTCTGTGCCCTATGTACATGCTGTTTCTTAACAAAGCTCAGCAGAATCACAGGGTTTTGAGGCCATGAAACATGTATACTGTGCAGCAAGAAGACTGTGTTGAGGAATCTGTCATCAACTGCAGTTTGAAAGAAATGAAAAGCTGACCACCACAGCTTTTGGTCAAAAACGTCAGAGAAATACATGAGTGTAGTCATTTCTTCAGATGTTTTCTGGAGAAATTGGACACTAACCTTATTTTAATTTGCATTTTTGACTATCATTAGCTACTTTTTTAAGAATATTTGGACTCTGTGAGAGTAGCCTCTGTGTGTGTGGTTCATCTACCTCTGCTTTGGATGACCAGGTGATTAGTGATGACTGTTTGGGTAAGAAAATGATGTCTCAGCTTCTTCTCTGGAACCAAGTAGTTAGAACTTTCTTTGGGCAGGAATATCCTTCCTTCATTTGACATTGCTGTGAAAGCAAGTGGTTTAGTACTGTTCTTGGAATCAAGTGGTGTCTTAGCAATTCCTCTTACCTATGTAACTGAGGAACTGGGTTTGAATCCTGTGTAGAGTGTGAAGCACTTTGACTTTATAGCCTTAATGTGTTGTTTTGACAGCTAAACAAATTAGGAAAATGATGGTGTTTTTTTTTTTTTAAATTGGATCTATTAATCCCACTTCAGGGTGTTCACACAAAATATTTGAAGTCAATTAGTTGAAGAGGGATCTGCGCTCCCGTGTTCATTGTAGCCCTGTGCACAACAGTCAATTTGGACATCAATCTAAGTATCTGTCAGCTAACAAACAGATAAGGAAAATGGGTGAATGCCCCAGGGAATGCTGTTCAGCCACAGGAAAAGGAATTTTACCATTTGTGACACCATAGACTTGAGAATGTTATGCTAAATAAAGTGATCCAGACTGAGAAAGACAAAAGCCACATATTTTTGCTTATATGTAAATTCTGACACTTTTAGTCTTTTAAAGACAAGAGTAGAATGGTGTATGCCAGAATGGAGTATGTGAAGGTCAAAGGTACAAATCTCAAGAAGGCAGGAAGAATAGGATATTCTTTCTATTGAGATACATTGAACAGGGTAGTGAATGCAGTAAATAATAGTGTAGAATTCAAAATTGCTGAGCATAAACTCCAAATGTTCTCACCATAAAAATGATGAAAATTAAAGTATATTAACTTTAAAAGTAATGGATCTCCATAATAGACTCATTTTATTATTCTTTGACATTTTACTCTCTAGGGACGTTTTTTTCTCAGTCCTTTTAATTTTTTGAGACAGAGTCTCATTAAGTTGATTTGGGCCTCCCTAAATAGCTGAGGTTGGCTTTGAACTTGTGATCCTCCTGATGCAGCCTCCTGAGTGCCTGAGAATACAGGTATGAGCCATCATACCCAACTAGCATTGAATTCTTGAAGGATAACTTTACTTTGTGCCCTACAAATGTATGAATATAGTTTGTCAATTTATAAATAAAAATAAATCTGATCTCTACCAACAATAAAAAATTAAAAAAAAATCTGATCTCTATTTATACATGGCACGTGAATTGCCACCTTAAAAAGCATTGAGTGCATTAAACTTTTTTCATGATAAAAACCTGTTTATTATGAAGTAAATCATCTTCTGTCTTAGAAAGGATTTATGAATATTACTGTATTGTTAAATGTGAGAAAAAAATTTAATTGAATTTTTCTTCTATCCCATTGTTTTCCCATGGACCTTCAGCTTGATATTAGGTTTACTATGTACTAATACTTATTTGGCTGTTTGATTCTTGGACCTGACTATTTTCCATTCTTTTTAATTATTGATGAACTTTCATATTTAAAAGAGCCTGCACTCTTACTTCTTCATTTCTTAGATGTGATAAATATCTGTCTAGAGAAGCCAGGCTGCACCATAATTTTCTGTTGATGAGAGGCTGTTGTGGAAAAGGATGGACTTAAGTGGGTGATTTGAGGTGATATAGAGTGTTTATTTAAATTGAAAGTACACATTCACACCCACATCTGAATGAAGTAAAGTGTACTTACTGCTTGTAGGGAGGATAGCTGTTTTTATAACATGGATATAAGCTGGGAAAGCGTGATTATGTATAGGTTTCAAATAAACCTTCTCATGTGCATGAATAAAAAGTTTTCTATAAACTCTTTAAGGTAGTTGGAATTGTTCAATTGTGTTTACATTTGAAAAACTTTCTCTTGTTTTTAAGTAATTTAAATGATGTACATATATCCTTTCTTTACATGTTTATAGTAATATCAGTTTAGGTGTCTGATTAGGCAGGCAAGCCGGTGTTTTAAGGATGTTGACAAACTCCTTATTTCACTTGAAATATAAACTTATTTCACTTGAAATATAAACTAGCCGAACACTTTTCTTGCTAACCCTCAATTATTTTACTGATATACATATTAATAGTCTTCACACAGGTGATCAAATTGATTTTTATTATGAATAAACATCAGTTTGATTTTTTTTTATCACTTTGGAAACCCCATAGGAAAGTAGTTGTTCCAAATCAAGGATGGTGTCCAGGCTTTCTGGTGGTCTTGTGTAGTTCTGGCATTTTCTTTCCACATGCCTTTACTCTTTTGTTTCTTCACTTCAAAACCAAATTGAATTGAATACCTTAACCCTTTGCAGCTCTATTTAACTTAAAGTTTCTCTTCATACATTAGGAATGATACTCAGGATTTTTGTGAGTTAAATTCAAGGTGAAAGTATTTTATAACCTAAGTGTTAGCACAGGCTGTCATAGCAATGCACCAGACTGGGGGACTTACAGGACAAAACTTTGTTTTGTTTCAGTTGTAGAGTCTGGGAGTTTGGGTTCAGAGCTCCCTTCCAGCAGTAGGCTCCTGTGAGGGTCCTGCTCTTCCTATAGATGGCGCCATCACCCTGCATCTCTCATGGCATAGAGTTTCTGGGGTTTCTTGCTCTTACCAGGGCACTGGTCCCATCAAGGGGGCTCCACTCTCATGACCTTGCCTAAACCTCATTACTTAAGTTACCAATCTCAAAAAAACAAGTGCCAAGTGTTTTCTCTGACATAAGGTAACTGACTCATAGTGGGGTAGGGATGGGAGAATGGGAGGAATAGATGAACTCTAGATAGGGCAGAGGGGTGGGAGGAGAAGGGAGGGGACATAGGGTTAGAAATGATGGTGAATGTGATGGACATCATTATCCAAAGTACATGTATGAAGATACGGGTTAGTCTGAACATACTTTATATACAACCAGAGGTATGAAAAATTGTGGTCTATATGTGTAATATGAATTGTAATGCATTCCACTGTCATTTCCTTACAAAATAAATAAATAAATAAAATTTAAAAATGTACCTCTCAGTACTATTGCATTGGAGGTTATTTCTTTATCATATGAATTTTAGTGAATACAAGTCAGTGCACAGCAGTCCACACAGAAATTTCAATATGTACTATAGTGTGGAGTAACCAGGGCACCTCTGAGGACACTCAGGGAGAGCCCTGATGGGGTGATGCTTTCCTATCTGTTTAAATGAAAAAGTTCCACTTTTTAAATGTCTTTGATTTTACATTACTTCTGGAAGGAGTTCTGAGGGAAGAAACCAACCTAAGAGCTCTGATTTGACTGAGCTGCTTTTATTCCCATTTTCTCTTGACAGAGCACTGATGCTCTTCTTCCTGATGGTCTACCTGTGTTGCAGAAGAACAGTGGCAGTGGATCTCTTCATGATCCAGAAGAAGCGGTTTGTGTGAGTTGGACTGTGTTCAGGGAAGGGGCATTGCAGCCTGGTGGGCAAACTGGTCACATCCAGAATTGGGCCAAGGATTTCATAATGGGGATAACTGGAAAATTTATTTTCTTCTCATTTCTTTCCCATATCTTATGTTTAAAATTGTCATATTTAAATTGTGTCTATCTGTACAACACAAGCTTTTGAAGTATATATAGTTTACCAATATTATTTGAGAAAAAGCAGTCTTCAATGGAGTGGAAAACCAAGAGCACATGAGGTCTGCTACTAAGGGAAAAAAAATATCAAGGTTTAGGTGTGGTCAGCAAGTCCCAATTTTGCAGAGAAAGTGAGGAATAAAAGGATTGAGAATTGTCTTTGGTTTTGAAAAAGTAATAGGTCATAAAGCCCCTCTCTAGGAAAATTCAGGAGTTTGATAGATATTTAAGTGTTAAGTATCAAATTGGAGATGGGATATGAAGTTTACAAAGTATGTGGCCAAGCACAGCCCTGAGTGGATCAAAGAATGGAGAGAGCCAGAGGGCAGCCTTACAGGAAAGGGCAGGATGGTTTTGTTCATTGTAGTTTGCAAAGATGGAGGAGATTTGCCCATGCCTACATGCCCGGAGTGGGATCACTGCAGAGGGAAGGAATGAAGGCAGTGGTGAAAGAGTTTGGAATTTGGAAAGAGAGGCATTAGGAATAGCAAAGATTAAGGTTTGGTATCTGACAAGGGTATCTTGTTGAAAGGCATGATCATTTTCTTGCTTCAACATGAGAATAGATTTGAAAAGAGGTTTTGGGATCTTCATCTATGTTGGATAGAGGATGATTCTTTTGTTCTTTTATTGTTTGCTTAATATTATACTGATATTGGCACAATTAATATTCACAAGTACACAGGGAGCTACACCAGCTGTACTCATCCCTTCTTTTCTTTAAGGATCAAAGCTATGGATGAAGACTCTCTTTGTCATGAGTATAACAAGTTCACTTGTGGGAAGAAGAAAAGCTTCTTTTTTGGAGGGGAGGGGTACTGGGGATTGAATTCAAAGGCTTTTGACCACTGAGCCACCTCCCCATGCCCATTTTGTGTTTTATTTAGAGACAGAGTCTCACTGAGTTGCTTAGCACCTCTCTTTTGCTGAGGATGGCTTTAAACTTGCAATCCTCCTGTCTCAGCCTCAAGGGCCTCTGGGATTACAGGCATGCACCGAGTGCCAAGCCAAGCCAGAAAAGCCTCTTTTACCAAGCCTCTATTACCACTGATATTAGCCCTTTCCAGTGAGCTAGCCTCAGAGGAAAAGCAGAGGCTCCGAGGAGAGTGAGGAAATGCAGACTCTGTGTTCCTGGAGGGGTGATGTGGGGCCAAAGGGGATGGAAGCAGGAAGGGTGCTGCCATGAGAGAGGTCCACAGGATGGGGCTGATGTCCCAGAGAGGATGCACCTGCGATGGGGAAGGACATGAGGGGATGAGCACAGAGCTTGTGGGCAGCTGCAGGGTTAGACCTGGTGGCAGCAGGAGTCTGAACAGCATCTTATCTGGGCTGTGCCTTTTTAAACTAACCTGGCCTGTGTGGTGTATGTTTTTATTCTATAGACATGAGTCCATCAGTGGGTATTACAGAGTGTCATCTTATTTCTTTGGAAGTCTTTTGCTTGATTTACTACTCGAGATGATATTGACAAGTTTTATATTTATTTATACACTATACTTTATGGCCGGTAAGTAACACGACAAAGAGAATGTGTCTTTACTTTTGGATATGTGGAGAAGTTAACTTCTGTTTGCAAACATGAATTTTGTTCCCCAAATGGCAAAGCAATCTATAGGGAGAAAGCATGTGTCTATTGAGTACTTTATAAATAGCTGGTTAATGCGGACACTCTTTTCTAGACTTTTCCCAACTGAACTATTAAAACTACTTATAAAATGGTAATTTACCTATCACCATTTATAAAACTATACAGATGCTGTGTGTTTTACACAAATATGGTCCAAATTTATAAAATTATTTGAAACTGTGCTAGAGGAGCCAGGATATTTATTGCCTTTTTCTACGTTTTTTTTTTCTCTCTCTGTATATATTTCAATATAGAGATAAAATATCAATAGGAAGTGTTACCTCTAATATCTGTAGAGACATATATAGAGAGATAAGAAATCATTATACACTTATATTCTCTTCATCTTTACTTTTCTAATTAGATAAAGATGATGACTTCGGGGTTTATTGATTTAATGAAATTACTTGTTTGATGAAATGGACAATATCATTTGTGAATTATACTCTGGGTTTACCCTAGACTCATTGAGTTATCGTTTCCATAATTTTCACTGATACACACATACAAACACACACACAAACACATACATTCACACACAACAAAAGTTTCTTTAACAACCCACTATAGAGTTTGAATCATTGATAGAGCTTAAACTTTCCATTTTAGAAATATATGTATGTGATAAGAATTATTCATGGAATCTGGAGCCCTGAACTCCTATCAGTGTTTTTTCAGTTGTTCCCAAATCTTCAGATCATATGACACAAAGCATTAGCTCATGATAATTATAAACTACTTTAAGAACTTAGCAGCCCTATTCGCAATCACAGAGTCATGTGGCAATTTGTCTATGAGTACTTAGTGATACCCCCTCTCAGTTATATGGAGGGAAATAATGAAATTGGTGACCCAGGGTGTTAGGACAGAGGATGATTATTTTTGTTCTCTTACTGTTTGCTTAATATTATCCTGATATTTGCACAATAAATATTTATAAATACACAGGGAGCTACACCAGCTGGACTCATCCATTCTTTTCTTTAAGGATCAAAGCCACGGACGGAGACTTTCTTTGTCATGACCTTTACCCTCCTTATCTTTGGTTTTTCATCCATTTCCATGACCCTGGCTCTAGCAGCAGGTTATAGCAAAGTCTCTATACAAGGAAATGTTGTGGACACCTATTTTACATTTATGCTGGTGAGTGTGAACTGTGCTTCTCTGGGACAGAATTTTTCCCCTTGTTTGTCCCTTCACCTTCTGTCATGTAAAACCAGCTTTGAGAATTGTGGGATGGGTCTCTGATGCTTCAAGGAGGTTATATATTAAAATACAGTTTACATTAGAGAATGTGCAACTTTTCTTCTTCCTCTTATCCAGTCTTTTTTGCCAGTTTCTAATGTAGTTACTTAACTTTGGCCCCATGTACTTACTAATGAGCTTTTAAAAGGGACTTCTTGGTGACATATAAAACCTTCATAGGTTGGGACTTCAAAACCCAGAAAAATTGGCTGATTCCCTCACAAAAAACATAGCTCTCTGCCTGCCTTTCATGCTGGTGTTAGAGAACTGCCAGCTGTGTAAGCAGCAGAGGTGGTTTGGTTGGATTCACTACTCTCCAAGGTGAAAGTCAAGCTCCCTGAGAAGTGTATTAGGGGGGTCTAGCCAGATGCCTCTTGCATTTTGAAAACGTTTTAAAATTTATTGGAAAATTCTAAAGTCCATAGTATTAGGTCACCTGTTGTGTGGGTTACTGAGAATCTCTTACATTAATATATTTCTGTTTTATGCTTTTAAAAAAAGTTGCTTAATCTATCATGCTCCTAAATCTTGCCCTCACTTAGATGAATCAACAGATAAACAGAACAAATTATCACATTCCCTCCACTACTATGTCAGTGATGCAGACATGCTCAACCTACAGAAGGAAAAGATGTCTTTCAATGACATTTATGGAGCACATATTCTTATTAAGAATTGTTTATTATTGAGTTATAGTTATCCAATAATATTGGGGTTCATTTGGGTTTAACCATTCCAGCATAGCTTAGCACATACTATTGCCAAAGTTGAGTTCTTCTGTTTCTGAATTTGGAGATGAATATGAATATGAATATCATTAAAAAAGTGATGTCTTGTTTTTATATCATCTACTGTAACAAAAATGTACTTCAATAAAATAAAATGTTTTGTTTTATTTGATACTTGATTGATTTTTTTTATTTAAAGGTTTCCATGTAGAATTTTAAAAGCTAGTCATGAAATTGCATTTCACTCAGGATTGCCATGTTATGTATCAGGCACTTGTTAGGTCAATTCTGATATACGCAGGTACACCAACACTATCATTGCCATGCATATCCCAACATACCCTGTACAAGTTAGGACAAGTATAATGTGGATTCCTTAGCAGTCCCTCTAGTTCATCTCCAGCATTCCTTCCTGAGTCAGCATTACACTGCTGCTTTTTTATAGCCTTAAATGAAAAGATTCACTATGTATTCTGCTGTACTACACTGCATTCTGCTGTTTATCAGTTCTAGGCTTTGGGTAACCTGAAACCTGCAATTCTGAAGCCCAAATTATTATTAACATCATGGATACAACATGCAAACTTTGTAAATAACAACACTTATTGATATATGGAAGTAGAGAGGGATATGTGTTGCTCAGGAATGTTCTGTATATGTTTCTAGATTTCTAAGATTTTTAGAGGTAACACATGGTAGAGATATAATTAGAATATAGAGTACAGTCAGCCCTTCAAATACATACTTTATGGATTATAAGATGCAATTGACTACAAACAAAATTTACAAAACAAGTACTGTGTCTGCATAATTTTTCTTTTTTTATTCATTATTCTCTAAACTATTTAGTGTGTATAAGTTATATATCTATGGTATAAAATACATACATAGCATTTCTATGCTACTAGGTATTATAAGAAATATGGAGCTAATTTAAAATCAAAGGATATATATACATTTAAATATGAAGGATTTACTTGGAATTACACACAAATACTATGCTATTGTGAAATAAAGGGCCTTGAGTATCTGCAGATTTGGGTATCTGTATGCATGTGTCCTGGAGTTGATCTCCCTTGCATACCAAGAGAAAAGTATACTTCTTAATCTTCCATTGTGTACTGGTACAGAGGAAGTTAAGTACAAAGTATTGACAATAAGGATCTTTCAAATAAATGAAATATATAATATAGATGTTAGTATATTTTTATTAACTTAAAACCATGAACGTCCTTTGCCAGGCAGAGGTTTACACATGTAAAGGAAGGTTAATGTTTAGAATAAGTGCAAAGGATTTCAAGAGTTCTTCCTAGCAGTAATGTGGAGAAGTTTCTAGAGATCTCAAAAGGCATCTTCTGAACAATTTTTCCTGAAATCTCTGGACTCTTCTAATTCATACTTTTTTCTCTGTAGATTCTTTCAGGTGTGTCTTTGTATTTTGGAACCAGAAGATCTCAGTTTCCCTGGCTTCAGTACTTCAGCATTCCATATTATGGCTTTATGGTAAGCTGTCCTTATCTACACCTGTGAGTGTTTCTCCAAGATGGGAACAGTGAAAATAAAACCCAGCCTTCCCTGCTATGACCTGTGGACACCTCCCACCCAGGAATGTCCTTTCAGGAGCAGTGAATGAGGATTTCCTAATAGCCTTCATTAGCACAAGGTCAGGGCATCATCTGTAGTTTCCTTCTATCATCCTGTTTTTTGAGGGTGAGGAAGGGTGGGGAGAATAAATCTCATAGTAAAGCAGAAATAATGATGTGAAACATTGTTTGCATTCAATAAGGAAATGAGAAGATGGGAGACCAGAATAGTAGATCATGTTGAAAGGGAAATTATAAGAGGAACAAAGGTTATGTAACACTCAGCCCTATTGGCTCTAGCAAGCTAACCAACTCCAAAGAAAACAGTGTCTTAATACAGTATAACCAAGATTCTACCACCTATCATTCATTGTAAGTGTTTTTATTGAAAAGAAGAAGTGTCATTAAAATAAGTCTTCAGTTTTCAATGACCAACAATGAATCGTTTTACTTATAAAGCTGTAGAGGTCACAGGGAGAGAAGATGGAAGGGGCTATGGGGTCATCTAACAAGAGGTCTTTCTTCTTGGTTAATTGAAAACATCATCCCAACTCTGGACCTCTTGATTCATAACTTTAATCACTTTGCCATGACAGATTGTAAATATGAAGCTTGGTTTGTCTTTTAAATATCATGTTTAGCTCAATAAGCCAACCCCCCCAAACCAAAAGCTGAATGTTCTGTCTGATATGTGGATGCTAACCCACAAAGGAGAGTGGGGAGGGGAAGAATAGTAGTCCATTGGATTAGACAAAGGGAAGCTAAGAGAAGAGAGGGAGAGGGGATAGGAAGGACAATAGAATTAATTGGACATAACTTCCCTAGCCTTGTATTTGAGTACATGACCAGTGTAACTCTGCATCATGTATAACCACAAGAATAGGATGCTAATTAGAATAAGTTATACTCCATGTATTTATAATATATCAAAATACATTCTACTGTCATATATAACTAAAAAGCAGAAATAAAAAAGACTAGTAAAGATTAAGTTTGAGGATTTCATTGTGATAATTCTTTGGAAAGTTTTTGAAATTTAAAATCATCATGTCTTATTCTTTGTGTCACAAAGGCTTTGCAGCATAATGAGTTTTGGGGAGGAAACTTCTGTCCAGAACTCAATACAACAACCAGCAATAAGTGTCCTGACTATGTAATGTGAGTTTGTGTCCAGTGTCATCAGGGGTTTACATAATACTGTAATGAGATACAGCAAGTTCCCTGGGCTTATAGCTGGTATGAAAACTTTCAAGGTCAACAAACATTCTGAGCCTATATTTTCTCCCTCATAAATTGAGTCATTGTGCACTAATCAATATGAACATGCTATAAGTACAGTGAAAATTGTACTTATTGTGGAGAAATGTTTGGGCCCTTTCAAAAGATCATGTTGACTTTTTAATTTACAGTTGAGTTTTGGGTAATTTTGAGTTCTCAATTTTCAGGCCATTTAAGTTGAAAATGGGTTGTTCTGACAGTTTAGCAAAGGTTTTAATCTCTCAGTGTATGGGTTCTGTGCTACATGTCAGCTGAGCTCATGTTAGTAAGAAGTTTCAGGGCAGCCATAGTATACATGAAGTGAACATGGTCCCCCAAGATTTTGGCCCTTCATTTTGCTCAGGCCATTGGAAGACACATAAAATCCAAGGCCATGTAGTGCATGTGTGAGTGTGTGCCTGTGTGTGTGTATATATATTTGTGTGTGTATGTGTTTTGAAATGGAATATTCTCTCACAGTGGCTATGTTTTTCAATGAAAGAAACACATATTTCAGCCAATTGAGAAGTAAATATTATTTCTGCATCATGTCCTTAAAAAAGAAATGCAGAGGTTTAAAAAATTAAAAGACCTTGTTTTATATTTTAATATTTTACTTTTCTATTATTGCTGCTAATAGGCCAGGTGCCTATTAATGAGAGAAAAGAGAATGCTGATGTCCTGAATCCCTTTTGAATGTTCAAATAACATAGAATAATTTGTAATAATCAGACAAGTTCCTATTTTGAATTACTGACAGGTAAAACCTCTATGAATAGAGTTTTCTCTACTGGGCCCCCTTGACCTTGGTTTGATCTGGCTGTGGTGTCTTTGTAACACAGAGTCACCATCAGGCTGCTAGGCAGGATGCAGTGGTTGGAAACAGGGGAACAGATAAGTAGGAGCCACCACAGCCTAACTATTCACAAAGAGCTATCCTCACAAGAGGAAGGAGGAATCTCTCCTCTAGGCAGAATGAGGGCATGGCTATTTTAGGAACTGCTAAATGCCAACATGCACAAAAATGGCAGCAGGCAACAACTGTGGCTGCATCATGTGTTTTAGTATCAGGTACTTTTCTATGTGGCAGGAATGCTCCATCCTGCCCTGCTTCAGCTGGTTCTTAAGGTCTGAGTCTTTTTTCTGTGCCTGCAGGTAACATCCTGTAGCTGAGTATCTGTGATGGTCATCACAGTGTTAGACTGACAACTGACAGACTTGACTCTGCCCACAAGCCCTTGCTCCCTTCTGGTTTTAGAATTTTTAGCCATTTTTTTTCAGGATGGCTATCTCATGGGTGAGCAAGTTGTCCCCATCAGCAGTCAGTGAAAGATCAGTTGATAATTATTTGTGCTTTTTTTTTTTTTTGGCACCATGGATTGAACCCAGAGGCAACTAACCACTGAACCACAGGCCCAGCCCTTTTATACTTTATTTAGAGACAGGGAATCACTTAGTTGCTTAGGGCCTTACTAAGTTGCTGAGGCTGGCTTTGAACTCCCCATCCTCCTGACTCAGCTTCGGAGCTGCTGGGATTACAGATTTGTGCCATTGCACCTGGCCTATTTCTGGTTTTTGAAGAGGGTAGCATTATATACTTGGAAACAAATGAATCTGGTTTCTACTTACACTAGAAATTTGGTTTATAATATGATTGTAAACTTGGCTAAGTTAATTAAGCCTTCTTCCCCTCCTCTTAAATGAATATGATATCTATACCCCTTTGGAACATTTTAGGGATAAGTAAGAAATTATATGCAAGTTATTTAGCATAGCATCAAGTAACAATGACTGATAGCTATTGTATGTGAAGTGATAATTTTGAAGATATTGTTAATCCATAGGTTTCTTTAAAGAAAAGCAAATAAATTGACCAAAATTTCACAGATGCCAGGAATAAAGTTATATTTTCTGTTTCATTTCAGATGTTCTGGTGAAGAATTCTTGTTAATGCAGGACATGGATATCTCACCTTGGAGCTTGTGGATGAATCATGTAGCTCTGTCCATTCTGATGATTATCTTTCTCATAATTGCCTACCTAAGAATGTTATACCTTAAAAGAAATTCTTAAATTTTACTTCCATTTACTATGAATTAATTTCACATTTAAAAAGTACCTGGATTGGCTGTCAGTAGTTAATGATTTTTTTATTGTCTTCTATTCAGTTCCATCACACTGCTGATCAGCAACAATCATCTTCAATAGAAAAGATCACAAAACAACAACAAACTGAATTATATATCCAAAAACCAAAGCCAAAATCTGATGGTATTTCTTAGTGCATATTACTTTATCTCCCTCAGACAATAAGTGTTGGGAAGAAATCCAGGCTAATTTATTGACCTGAAAAAGGAGAATTGATCTCTAGAAACTCATGACAACTTTCTCTTATCTCTGGCATTAGGTTCCTCATGTACAAAATGAGTAGGCTGGCTAGTAGCCCTCCGGTTTTGATATTCTGTGACTCTACCATTAAATATGATCCCATTAAATAAATAACTTGTGTAACTGTTGTATTAAAAGTATGAAACTTAATTACTTTGAAAACATAATGATATTTCTAGGGTGAAACAGATCCGTGATGATAAAAAAAAAAAAACATGTCTTAAATAAGATAATTTAGATTGGTGGAACTTACAATGCTAATGGAATTGTAAGAGTTCAGGAGTCTTAGCTGGGGTCTTGGGCTGCAGGTGGAGTTGAGGGCCAGGGTCAGGGGTTATGGCTCTTGTGCCATTTCTGGGACATTCTGCCTCTGAAATTTCACTTTGCCTCCTTGCATGTCTCAGTGGTATATAATCTGGCTACATCAGAATCTCTGAGGGCTTTGCTAAGACACAGATGTCAGGTCCTGCCTTTCCCACTGAAGGAGCACCTGGAGAGCCGCCTCCATGGAGAACTTGTCAGGGCTGAATTTGGCCATTTCTAATGCTCTCTCAGCTCTGAAAATGTTATGCTTGTGGTTTAATAACTTGGGTATCTTTGCCTACACAAGATCCCATTCAATGCTTGCAGATTTAATTTATTTATGTATACTCATTTCATTCTTTACCTGTAATAGAGAACTATTTACCAGTACTGTGACTGTGTTTAAGAACTTCTCTTTTGTTGAAGGGCAGTGTAACAACAACAAAAAAATACAATTCAGTGAGTTACCATAAAATGATGACACATGTGCAGCCACCAGTCCAGGCCAAGAAGTAGAATGTGACCTGACAGGAGAGTCCTGCATGCACCTTCCTAATCTCTGATTCTTCCTCCTCTCTCTATGGGTTGCTTTTGAAATGATTTAAGTATATTCCTCTCTGTTGCTATTATCAGAACATCACTGCAGCTCAGGTTTGTATTTTTTGTGGAAAGTTACATGCTTAATTCCCTCTTCCATTTTTAAAAAGCTTTTAAATGTTTAAATAGCTTATATTTACAGAAAAGCTGCAAAGAGAGTGTGGAAATCTGCCATGTGCTCTTAGCCAAGATTCATTTAATTTTAACTTTTTATATTTCAAGCTCCACCAGTCAAAGATCAGAAATTAACATTGGGACATCTTTGTGTTCAAATTGCACAATTGTTACAAATCCCCCCCCCTTTTTTTTTTTTACTAATGTTCATTTATTGTTCTAGGATCAAATTTTGGGTATCACATTGTGTCTAGATCCCTCTTGCAGAAGAAAATACAGGAATGAAAAGATCTAGGGACTCACCAATGTAGATGCCTGTTACTTTGGTTCTCTAGGAATATAACTGACCCATCATTGGGTGCTTTTCCATGTTGCTGCAATGTCAGTCTAAGGAGCTGACTTTAGATGTTTATCTTTACACTTTAAAGAATACTGCTTTTTATGACATTTGATTAATGCATCAAATAATATCTGTTTTACCAAGTTTTATGGAAATGTCAATGTCAAATAATTTTTTCTACTTTTGGTCAAATTTTTCTGTATCTGTGCTTACAGTTACCTACATATATACATCATCACACAGAGAGAAATATATATGCATATTTATACACAACATATATCTGCCAGGTTAAAAAATAGCTCAAATTAACAATATCTTCTTTGGGATTTATTAGACATTTAATTGTTCCATATTTTATTTATTCTTTCCATTATAATTTCCTTTTTATATACTTTTTATTGAGTCAACAAACACAAAATAAAAATTACCATCTTATCAAACTTCTAAATTGAGGAACATTTAAAAAGTGTGATATTATTTTTCTTAGGTTAAAAAATAAAATGTTAGTTGATAGAAATTTCTGTAAGAACACATATGTATGCTTGTGTAATTTGTTCTTATTTCCTTGCATGTCAGAAGTAATCTATAAAGGACGGGAACTGATCTATCATGCAGGAATAAATGAAATGTCAGTTGATGTTTATTCCCCAGTTACTCTTCTTTGGATGCCAATCAAGACTTCAAGAAGACTGCTGCTATGAAATGTTCCTCAGTGTGTTGAGGAGGGAGGGAAGAAGGGAAGAAAATGTGGGTAATGTAGAAAGGTGTTAAAGAGGTAATAAATATAACACTTTCTCTGTTTTTGAAGTCATCTTCATGCACCTAAGATTTGAAATTTATTAAAATTCCTTGCACTTATATCCTTTTGACAAGTAGTAATACTGATTTTTGAGATGTCTTTTCTGATTCCAATAGGCTTTAGAAAAGAGCTGTCAAGGGGGCAGAGATGGAGGCTGTCAATGGATCCTACAAGAGCCTGGGCTAGCACCAAGGTTGATTGACTGAGGGCAATTAATATTTTAGTATGGTCCTGCCCTTCCAGGAGACCATACCAGTCAGCAAATTGGTGGCAAAATGATGACATGCAATAACTGAGTCATTATCCCTGATGTCTTTGGGGACCACTGCATTAAGATATAGGTCCTCATGGAGTTATATTTTTGTATTGGTTATGGCTGTTTTTGCTCTTCGACAGCAAAGTCATTGAAAGAAAGACCATGATCATTTGTAAAACCAAAAATATTTACTATCTCACCCTTTGTGTAAGCTTACAGAAACTGACATTAAATCCATAGGTTCTGTTTCCAAAAAGTGGGAAACAGGTCCATAAGCCAAGCAATTACCAGCCTCTTTCAACATCATTTCCATGAACTCATTTGCAGAATTTATGCTTTAGGTCTAGGCACCTTTAGGATCTGCTGTATAGACATCTTTAATCCTGAAGAGTAGGTAGACAGGGGCACATGGCAATACAGGAAAGGTTCCACAAAATCTGAAAGTAGCTGCCCCTTTGTCACTTTGGGATTTCCACAGTGGTGTCACAGCAGCAAGGAAAGGCGTTATAATAGTGGTCATCCCTGTGACAGTGAAGGGCAGGATTACTAGCCCTCTACATAATGGGTGGAGAATTCAGAGAAGTAACTCAATGTTTCTCTGTAATAATGTCTCTGAGGCCTCAGTAGTGAAGGTGTGGACATCTGTTCCAAGAAAACAGCTTAGATTACAGCTGAAGTAATGGCCAAGAATTAGAAAGTTCTAGAAAGGATGTGGAAGAGAGAAAGAAAAAATTGTGATCATGAGCACAAACAGCAATGGGACCAGCAAGTTCCACTGAATGTCTGAACCTCCTGTACTGTGTTTTCTAGAAATTACAACTGGCCTCTCCCTCAAGCTTTCCATATGGTGGATTTACAGTGGCCATAATTGGATCTGTGTGGTATGAGGGCTGGGCTGATTTGGGTGCTGTTGGTGCTGTCACATCTTCTATGTACATCTCCACTTTTGGTTGCAGCTTTGGTGGGCAGTTCCATGTGGGTGAACCCAATCAGTGAATGAATCCCCTGAGAGGGATTAACTGAGTGGTAACTGAATGTAGGAAGGGAGTAGCTGGAGGAGGTGGGTCATGGCGGGCGTGCCTTTCGGGTATTGTGTGTGTGTGTATAAATATATATATATAAATATATATATATATATATATATATATATATATATAAAATCTGGCAAGTGGAGTTTGTCTCTGCCTTCTGATCATCTTGTGACCCATCTCCCTCTGCCACATTCTTCTGCAATGCTCTTTTGCCTCACCTGGATACCTGAAGAATGAGCCGGGTGCCCATGGACTGAGACCTCTAAAATCATGAGCCACCAAATAAACTTTTAGTTGCAGCTTCAAAAAAGCTGACTAAAACAGAAATAATTTAGTTTTCTTAATATGACTCTTAAGGAAAGCATGAAATGTTAGTGTTAGATGAAAAACCCCAGTTGCCTAAGTTAAGTTGACTTAATTTAATACTTTTCAGTGGACTAAATGAATTCACAAATGTTAACACGATATGAAAAGACAAAACCTTTAAAACTATCTTAAGTAACTCAGATCAAAAGTGTTAAAAGTGTTAATTTGTACCAAATCAAAAGACTCAAAAAGCTTTTAAAGAAATAATTGTTAAAACAATTTATAATCATCATTTGATTGAGTTCTACAGTTAATATATTCATATTCCTTGTAGGTAGTCTATACATATCTATAAAGTGTTAAATATGAATGAGTTAAAAGATAATATCTTTATCTTGGTATGCAATAATTCACTCAAACACTTCCTGTGCCATCCTGGATCTAGCTTGCTTTTCACTTCCTACTTTTATAAGAAAGAAAGAGTGAAATGAAAAGTCATGCCACCAAGTAACTATGAAGTGTTGACATCTGTGTTAAAAAATTATGTGAGTGAGCATGTTCTACTTTTGAGGCAAAGCACTGTCTTAGATAACTTTATTAATCTGCATTGGTCTAATTTTTTG